AGCGGTCACAAGTGTGATTGACGGGCATGGGGTTTTGGGTTCAATTCCCGGGTCGGCTAAAGCATTACTAGGTTTTAAAAAAAACAGTAGTAACACGAAGTCTGGAACTGTGCCCAGTATAAGGCAATGGGCCCCTATAACATGGGGCGCATAACATAAATAGTGAAAAATGAGTGTTACATTGTACAGTGGTATAATGTGCACCTCTGCCTACACTTTCGGGAATTAAAAGCTAAAAGGATAAAAGGGTTAAAAGAAATATGAAATTAAGTATGAAAATTGGCGGCCTTCCTAACAAGCTAATCTCTTCAGAGGACCTGGTGTCCTTTAAGGTGACTATCCCACGTATATCATCACAGGACACTGCTGGTAGCCATCATTCTGATGGCCAACATGGATTTTAGTAAGCTAAAAATCCCATACTTTCTAATCTTTCTCCCAAATTAATTAATTAATAATTAATTAATAATTATTTTTCGTTAAATTGTTTATTACGTTTGTTCATATTCCATGTATAAGGCAATGACCATTGAAGAGTAATGGCAGTTCGTCACCGTATTTCCTCGTAACACGCCGATGATTTCCAACGAAAGTTTTTCCAGGATATTTACCTTTACAAGTATATATATTGAGTCAGAGCGATTCATGAGCTATGACTAATGTTATAATTAATAAATAATTAATTAAATGGGATTTAAAATTAAACTTATGTAAGTGAAATACATTCTATTTCAATATTAAACACTTACAATTAAAATATAAAATGCAGCTACAATTTAAATAATTATAATTATTATTATTCAAATGTATAAAAAAAAATATAAATAATGTAAATAAAACAAAAATAAGTCTGCCTCGTTGGCCGAGTGGTCGCAAGTGCGATGGACGGTGCGGAAGGTCTCGGGTTCGATTCCCGGCTAGGGCAAAGTATTACTGGGTTTTTAAAAAAAAATCTTAGTAGTAGCACGGAGCCTGGAATTGTGCCCGGTATATGGCAATAGGCTCACTCCCTATTACATGGGACTCATATCATAAATAGTATAAAGTGGGTGTTACATTGTACAGTGGTATAATGTGCACCTCTGCCTACCCCTTCGAGGATAAAAGGCGTGATGTTATGTTTTTGTATATTCGACGGGTCGACGATTGGCCACTAACCTAAATAACGACATGTATTTTAGTACACCTACACAATACACGCCTTTGTCCAGTCAAGGTGGAAGGTAAAAAATAATCATCCCCTATAAGGGAACTTAGAGTCTTTAGACCTTTAGAAACTTTAGTTCCTTAATATCCTAAGGGTCTAACCATACAATAGGTTATTATTTACAATAGTTATTACTCCATACCTGCCCTTATTGTTTTTTTTTTGTGTATCTATAATAATCTTTTTGTTTTGTGGGCTTTCAGGTCACGTGTGAACAAATGTTGGGCCCAATTCCAGACACAGAGGTTTTACTAAGAATTTTTAAGTGTGGGATAGCCATGCTTTGGCGCGAATGGGCCGGCTCGACCGGAGTGATCCCACGGCCTCACAGAAAACCGATGTGAAGCAACGCTTGCTTTGTGTTTCGTCGTGTGAGTGAGGTTACCGGAGGCCCAATTACCCTCCCTTTCCCCAATCTCCCCAATTCCTGAATCCCCAACGATCCTCAAACTCCTAATCCTCAAAAGGCCGGTAACGCACTTGTAACGCTTCTGGTGTTCTAGGTGTCCATGGGCGACGCCGGTTGCTTACCATCAGCTGATCCGTCTGCTCGTGTACCAGCTTATGCCATAAAAAACTAATAATAATCTTGGTCTGTTGCTAAGATAATCACTACTCACGCGTGGTGTTTAAAGTTTGGCTAGTAGTACTGCGACTTTTTTTATAGATTTCGGAGATATTATGTGCATTTAAAAGAAACTAAAAGTAGGACTTTGCGCGACCCTGGAGTTAACTCGAGACTCCTTGCTCAAAAGTGCTACTACTGAGCTATTCAACATTCTTCTTTGGAACTTCAGCAAAAGGCTAAAATAGGTACCTAAAATAAAAATTGGAAATCAAAATCTAGAACCACGAATAAACTACTTACCTTTTTGAAGTTCGCACTTTATAAGAGTAATCGACAAAATTTATAAAGTACTCAATACTCATACAATAATTGTTTATAGAAAAAAAAACGTTATGTTGTTTAACTGCCTCTCTTCTTGAATGCTCAGACCTTCTCTTCAAACACTTTTGTGGAAACTGCATCAAAATCGGTTCGACCAATCGCGAGATATTCTCGCGCACAAACATACACACATACATCTGGCCAAACTAAGAACATCCTTTTTAGTTAATCGGTTAAAAAATACCACACTAGTATATTTTTACCACACACACAAACACACATACCTCTACATACAAAGGAAGGACAGTATTGAAACAATACGTTCAGGCGACCATTGTCCAAAACTTTACCTGTACTGAGTACTGACGTCACAATCCATTTACAATATTATTATTAAATAGACAGTAAGGACGATGTTGTTGAAAATTATCACTTATGCTAAGGACATAAAGACAAAAATGACATGTCTAAGATATGTGTACTTAAACATGTATCTTTTACTTAGGAGATTAATCGTTAAAATTACATGCTTAAACTGTCACACACCAAGCGGTCACCGGTGACCGCAACCTATTGTTCTATAATTGTGTCTACAAAACCGGTACTCGACGAGTTAAGATATGTTTTATCATGAAAGAAGTGGACAGCAGAAGTATCTAGTATACAGGGGTAGGTTTAATAAGGGTTCTATCGATAAAAGCTGTAATTATCTAAACCTAAATAGGTTATAATAGGTACCTAACACGAATTTTTCGTTAGCGTTAGGCATGTGAAGGGAGAAAACTAAGAAATTTTTGGAAATAGCAAAGCATTTTATCAGACCTGGGGATTTTATTCTGTGCCTGGGGATTTAACGCGCTTGGGAGTCTTGATTTCAACCACACGACCATTGAGACAATTTGAAATATCGCAAGTATAGACATCTAATGCATGAAACCTTCAGAAACTTCAGAAACAGAAACAAGCGTGAGAGTGCCATGGAGGTGTCCATGGGCGACGCCGATTGCTTACCATCAGGTGATCCGTTTGCTCGTTTACCGGCTTATGCCATAAAAAACTTATAAAACCAAATAATACCATACCTACCTCTATATACATTCTCATGAGCAAGAACCCCTCTGTGGTTCGAAACTAGTAGAGCTTTTCTCAATATTTTCAAGTGAGTAGATACCTAACCTAACCTAATCCGCGATGTTTAGTTAATTTAGCATGTCTCACGATAAAAACATACCCACTTTACTTTTATTTACTGCAATTATACATCTACTACCTCCTTATGTCGCGGAGAACCTCACTGGTTATCAGGGCTCCGGGTCGAGGTGCAGGAGAAGGAACGGGATGGTTTTTAGTTAGTAAGAGTCTGACACTCCGTCCCGCCTCACCCAGGTGGGAGCAGACATTCTATGATTTTCCCCCTTAAAAAAACTACCTACTTATATCTAAATCACTCTAAATCAAAGATTTTTATGGTACTGCATGGATCCATTTATAGATTTTTGACTACTTTCATAGGAAAAGATCTATGGTATCTGTTACATGATTTCAAAAAACCACATACATAGGCAATTATAGTTAACAAATACCACATAAGAAGGTAGGTATCTACCTATATCAAAAAACAATACACTACAAAGTTCATTAATTAATGTTAAATGACACATTAATTAAATATGTGGTCTTAATTACATCAAGCAAATAAATACCACGTAGGTAACATTCGTAAGGTACAAATTCATTAATATTTATTAATGATATTTTATTAAATAGCTACCTAATTATATTAAAAACTCATGACTGCACTCGTTTACAGGCGTTGGCATGTTAGTAATATTTATTGCATAATTTACAAAGCGTGGCGATTCAGACGGACCCAAAAATACCACGCTACTCACTACTAGAGCCGGAATCGAACCTGAGACTTCCTGTCGCTCAATCAATGGAACGTTAAAAAAGGCTATTGGGTACTTGAATGGTTTTTTGAAAAAATAAATCTTTTGAAGTAAAACTATGGATTATGAATGTTACAACTTACAGCCGTTTCGACACTTTACAGTCAATTCATCCCTTAACAATACATGGACGTGAGAACTTTCCCCACTGTATATTACAGTCTCAGTAACATACCTTAAAACATATGTCTAGACTTATAATATAGTGCTCACTGAGTCATCCGAAATCTGTGATCGCATAGATATCATGAATAGTAATCGCTTTTATGACAAGACAAACATAACAATACATTTCCTTCTTCCTTGACTTCCCACACTAAATCCCAACAATAGCACACAAACATAACATTCCTTTGACCCACAATAAATCCATATCTTCCCTAATCTCTCCTTATCCCAATTACTTCCTCAAAATAAATTCCCTGTAATAATATATTTGTTCGTGATTTGTGTAGTATTACCATCCGTCCGCCTTATCTCGGACATGTCCTAATTTTTGCTCGACCTCGACTCGACTGGGGGCGCGCGACAACACCGCATTTCGGATGCAAAAAAGTTACGATCTTAAATTCTTCATCTAAATAACGAAGACACCCGAACGGCTACTACATAACTGCTATCTCAGCGTAACATTTTTGCGTACTCCAAAAAAAGTTAAGAAAAACTTAGGAACGCCAATATTTTCTCATGAAACTTCAGGGCTGCCGGATACATACAGTGTAGGTATCTGAAAAGTATATATTGCGTAGGAGGCGTCACGTATGTGTAGGTATTGGAGTAATGTGACACATGTGTGGCGCCCCCCCGCACCACGCGGGGACAGGCGTGCTCGCGTCGCGCTGCACGAGTGTGTGTGTGTGTGGGGCGGGGCCGGGGGCGGGCCCCACACCGGCGCGGGCGGCCAGTGCCCGCCGACCGCACGCCGACCCGATATTCGGCATTCGTGCGACACCGCCGCACCGAGCACTCGTCTCGTCAGCTCATTCCGCGCTCGCGAGCCTTCCGCGACACACGTACGTGCTGTTCTCGCTCCCGTCGCCACCCTCGACAACAACGCGCAGTCACATCGCCTTCAACTGTGTAGTGCTACCAAACTTTTTGGTGACTTAGTGCTTTCGGACTTAACTATTGTTGAATAAAAATCTGTGTGAACTCGAACGGAATAGTGCAATGCGAAGATTGCGGTCCGGCGGGAAGGCGATTCTTTGAGCGACCGAAAGGGTTGGGGAGTGCGGGGTGCGAAGCGGGCGGAGGGCGGCGCGAAGCCGCGCACGCGCCCGCTGCTGGACCGCGGCGAGGTTCTAACACACGCGTTTATACCGGCGCGCGAGATGGACGACAAGCCGTCCGCCGTCGGCGGCGAGGAACATTACAGTCTCCGGTGGAACAACCACCAGGCTCACCTGCTCCGCTCCTTCGAAGCCTTACTGCATGCTGAGACACTAGTGGACGTGACACTGGTGTGTGCCGAGCGCCGCGTACGCGCGCACAAGGTGCTGTTGGGCGCTTGCAGCCCACTATTTCGCAGAATATTTAGCGAAAATCCGTGCAAACACCCAGTGATCGTGTTGAAAGACTTCCAAGGATGGGAAGTTCAAGCCGTGGTAGACTTTATGTATCGTGGCGAGGTGTCAGTGGCGCAGGAGCAGCTCGGGACTGTGATACGCGCCGGAGAATCACTCCAAGTTCGCGGTCTAGCCGACCAAGACCGCGAGGAGTCTGCCAGGTCCCCAACTGCAACTCCACTGGCACGAAGTCCAGCACAAGCGACACCACCAGCACCATCTCCACCAGTAAGCCCGGCAAGTCCTCAGCCACGACGGAAGCAAGCCAGGCCTCGTCGTCGCTCAGGAGAATCAGATACACCAGAAAATTTATCGATGCGTCGATCCCCTAGTGGAGGACTGAAGGCAGTTCGCCTGTCGAGGCCTCGCTCACCACCAAAGCAAGAGCAAGAGGAGCCTGAGGCTGAAGTGCCGCCGCCACCACGTATGTTCGCGCCACACCAGGACATGTTTCCCCCAGTACCACCAGCTGCCGTCTCCGCGCTCTCATTAACACCACCACACAGTAAGTACCCGCTACCATTATTTTTGACAGTTTTTCGCAATAATCCATAGTTTTCAGTGTCCGTGACACATATAAAATTACGGACAAGTTTCAGAAATCAGTGAGCTATTTTTTACTGATTTGTAGTGTTTTTTTATTTTTTCTATAATATTTATAACACAAAATTGTTACGAATAATAAAGTTCACATAAAGTAACAAGTGGGTAACCGCATCAAATCGTATGTGAAAAAATAAAGGTCGATAATACCAATGCCGTCATGGACGAACAATTACCCGATGATAAGTAAACAAATAATTAGTGGTAAAAACTGACCTCGAACGCTCATTGTCAACATCTCCAAAATCAATCTTAACATGTTTTTGTTGGAACAGAATTCACACCATATTTAATCAAATAGTTAGATTAAGTTCTCTTCAAGTCGACCTACAATCTGACTTAGCAAAAATCTTTTATGAATAAGCAAGTCCGAATCTATTATTATACTAAAGTGCTCTCAAATAATATTCTTCTATTTTCTAATTAGAATCGTATGAGATGTGATCTATGTAACGATCGCTTAATCGGACCGGCCGATGTGAATAAATCTAAAAGTCTAATTAAAGTCGAATCATCAAAGGATCCGTTATCGATGAGGTCTTATCGATTTCATGAATCGCATGCAGGTTACCGGTGATTCGATTAGCGACCGATACCGAGTGTTAACCGGAACGGTTCACAGATAAATTAAGATCACCTATTCATATGTCGGGTGCATTATCTCTTGGATCGCGTGAAAGGTTTTAACTTTATAAAGTCCATTAAGTGAGCATGTCGCAAACATTCGCCGTAAAATATCATTATAAATGGACGGTGGAGCTCGAAGTTCTGATCGTGTATGGTACCCATAAAGGTGTGTCAGTGTAAATTTTACACCTCAATAATTATTGCTTGTGGGTCTCCTTATGCGTATAAAAGAGGAAGCAATTCCAGCAGTCATCTTGTTTTACGAGCCCTTTTCGATTTCTAAACGTGTTTATGGTGGAAATTCTCTGATTGTCATAATCTAATTTAGGAATCGTATTTTAATCTCGTCCTATCATTTATCTTTATTGTTGTTATAGATTTTATCGACCGCAATAAAAACTGGAGGAACTTTAACGGATTAGGTATGTTTAAAGATTTGACGATTTATTTTGTGTCCGAAACAGTCATAAAACAAATAGTTCATATTTCGCTAGAAATCACTGCCAGCCATTCTTAGTAAAACGCACATTAATTTTGTCAATTAAACGTTGAGTGCCCAATCTATTTGAAGGTGCACACATAAATTACAGTTCTAATATATTTTGCACAACAGACCGTTGAGGCTGAGCTTGAAATTAGTCCAAGGAGTGGTTTTATACGTCAATTTTGTTTTATTGTTTCCTTAGTTTCGCGTATGTGCCGAGTGCTTGATTGCGCCATAATAGTCGTAGGTTGTAATGAAGGGTTGCACGCACTCGCCTCTCGCCGCCGACGTGCGTGGGGATACTAAATGCGAGGGGAGTTTGAACGTTTCCGCACTTGTCATTCCGTTTCGAAAATCAAATTTTAAATTGCCCCAACTTAAAATGTTTATTCCTTGTTTACATTTTCGTGTCTGGCAATTCGAACGTTCGGTAGACGGACCTTTTTTTTTCTTGTTATTTTGTGTTGACCTGCCGAATTTGGCAAAGAAATGTTTTTATTTGGGTGATTTGGAGTGGTCGGCTTCTGTGGCGGTTTATTGCAGATGTACATTTTATTGTATCCATCTCCGTGTATGATGAGCTTGATTACAGTTAATGGTGGTGCGTAAATGTAATGAGGGGTTGCCGGTGACTGCTGGCAATCTCGGCGCCGGCGATCCTTGCAGATTGGACTCGAACAAATCCAAATTTTCTGACTTGTTCATTCATTACTGTTTTACTGCTTTTTTATTTGTAGCAATTGCAATTGAACTTCTAAGAATATACTTATAATGACAGCCATTTTCAATATTTTGGTTAAATATATTCATGAATTTGTTGTTAAATGAAAGAAACTTCTCTCAAGACCATCATTAGATGTAACAATCTTATCTAATGCTGACCTAGTTGTTGTAGTGGTGTAAGAACTTGAATTAATTGGATATCTGATAAGCCAAGATGACTTAAGTCACAAGTAACTACGATTGCTGAGAATAAGGTTTCGAGTTTGCAAAATAAAAATGCGATACAGTAGAAAAACGCAGACATCATAATACCCATATGTATAAAACATAGAAAATAAAATTATTGGCACCCATTGTTCAAGAGATAATCGAACCGGTTAGCAAAACTCACCTTTATGATTTACGCGGCTTTGTCACGCTAAACCAATTGTAAAATATTTTATAAAACTTAACATAAATGATCACTGCACCACGCTTGAATTGAGACGTTGAATAAAATTATTTAGGGCATCGATAGGAATTAGGGCACTGGTGGAAAGCAATTCTCATTAAAACTTCAATAACAGTTAGGACTGTGATCCCAAAAAGCATAAATACTGACAATGAGTCTAACTCAAAATTTAGTACCATCCTAAACAATTAGTGGAGGGTAGATAGATCATTCGAATACTGACACAACAACAATCTTGTTAGACAAATGCCAAAACAAGAAAAGAATCTCATATGTCTTATAAAATCTCATAGATGGCCCCCCTGCTTATAAGCCTCTAGACCCTTAAACACAAAATACAACTCTAAGTGAAATGAAAATCGACCACAAAACACTCGAACTTTACTCGAAACATTCACATTTTAAGCAGTAATTTGTTTACATTAATTCATCAGTCAACACGCGAGGTTTTACATCAGGTACACGACCTTCAAGGGTGGCAAAAAATATAGAAAAAACTGCGCAAGCGACGACATTGGCACGAAGCGCTAGATACCGTGCGCGCACGCAAGGGCGGCTACGGTCACTATGCGTCACTGCGGTGCGGGACAATCTACTGTGTCATTTGCACTGAAATTGTACTTACAACACTAAATAATGACACTGAAAATGTAATATTACAATACACTTTAAAAGTTCTCATGATAGGCTTCAATTTTAAGACAGTTTGACGTTGAAAAGGCGCTTCTAATGGTCTAATTTGACATTGACTTTGAAAAGGCTTCCAAATACAAAGTTTGATGTGCATATGAATGGATTGCTCCAATTCCTTTTAATTTCCGCACAATTGAAGAGTCTGGCCTGTTTCTAACCTTCGCTAAACATATGAGATAACTTATAATTAATGTTTATTTAAAGGATAAAGTAAACAGCAACATAAATATTAGTTTAAACCATCACAATTTATGACCACTTAAAATACGTAATAGGTTTGCAAGAGGTCGACCGTCAAAAAGATTATGCGTGCATTAGTTGGAATCGTTGGTCAGATTCTCATTAGTCATCTTGACTCTTCCAATAATTAAATATTACATTTCAATTAAATTACAAGTTGACACACTGTATAATGTATACAAAATAATTAGTAATCAGAGTTTGAATTACTTCGCTACGTGTGTAGTTGTCAATCAGACCAGAGTCGGTTAGCAGTCAATAATTGCAATTGATATTTTATTAATTTATTTTTTTGTAGCTGTCAGCGTATGTCTGGGACTTTTCGATATTAAATACGATCATAGATGTGAATGCAATGCGTAATGTAATAATAATTTGGTGTTACATAACTTTGATAACTTGATAATTACATCGACAAAATCTAATTTTGTTAGGTACAAAAAATTGTGCACTCAAAAATTTTGTCACTAACCGCCACTAGGCGCACTATATTTACCGGAAAATTCGTAATATGAAAATTGGAAATAAAATAACTCGTAACTTCAAAAATCATTAAACAGGTGAACGCACAGAAAAATCAAAATTGTCCGTATTTTCGCACCCAAAAGTGTAGTCAATGTAAAGAAGGATGAGAGCGCGGCCTGCGTCTGCGCATTTACATTCAATCGACGCCGCGACTGCCCGGTGACCTACTTGCATTACGTTTCAGGGTACATGAAGTTTACAAGAATCAGGAAAAATACACAATATTACATGTTATCGTAGGTCGGTAAATATGATGCATAGGTAAAAAATATAATTCATAATTGAGGATGTCTTCCCTAGACAAAGAATCGAAATACAAACATAAATCTAATTAGCGGGCACTAATCATTAAAAAAAAAGAAAACTAGAAAAATGTACTATTTTAGGAAATGTCCACGAGTAATAGCTATGACGGGAGCACTGCCGTGCCCCCACATAAAAAAGTAATATTTAGAGATACGTCCACTACTAAAAAACAAAATCAAAACATTAACTTTCGCCCTTTTTCCCACATGTTCTAAAAAACAAACAAAATAACATTACTTTTACAAGACATTGTTTAAATAAGGTCAGCTCTATAGAATTGTGGGCCAAAAAAGTGTAGCCTGCAAAAAGACTAAGATACTCGATCGTTGCCCGAGGGGGATCCGAGAGTCTGCATGTCTGTCTGGACTGAGCACCTGCCTGTCTGCCAGTCTGTCACTGACCTAACGCAACAAAGTAAGCAAATGTCAAACCTGTTTTCTAAAAAAAAAACATGCGAAACTTTCCGGTGGTGATTAAGATACATTTTTTTCAAATTAACTGTATTTGGAAAGGTTATGTTAATGCTTACGTTACTGATTGATAATGATCTAAATAGTATTTGATGTCAAGATAATAATAAAAATATTACCAAACAAAATACAGTTTAAATAAAATTACAAAGACGAGTAAACAAAACAATGTCTTAAATAAACAGTAATGATAAACACATCCCTATTTACTTTACATACGTTTAAGTCTACAGTCGATCTCATAATTAAGACTAATACACCTAAAACGATTCTAAAACATCCATAATTACCATAAGAATATTATAATAATTCCCATAAACATTTGCTTTGTGTCAGCCAATTGTTACGAAGCCGTAAAAACTAGTAATAAAACCGACACACATTACTAATCCGTCAATTATATGCCACGTAACATATCTGCGTGTCGCGAGCGCATGCGCAATTAACATTCTAATCAAGCATTGTATTACTTGAGCTGAGCGAGCAAAAAATCTAAGCAAACACGAGTATGGAGAATATTTTTAGGTTCCGTTGGCATTATCGGTAATTAATACAGCAAATAATACGGTAATTTTGCTAAAAGCACTGATCAAATACTTAATAAAACAAACCAGTCACTAAATAGGTACCTATACCACAAACAAATCAGGCTGATATTAAAACTTTTTGGACTCGAAAGTAAAAACACAGGCTGACAGAAATTTTTTGACAATAGTTCGCGTTCAACATTTAAACAAATTCACATTTTACGAAAAAAAGTGTAAAGTTGTTAGTAAACGTCCATAGAAGCTTACAACAAACAATTATTGTGAAGGGTTTCCATTTTCCTTCGAAACAATAGTCGCATATTCTGAATAATTCTTTGAATTGCTACTGCTAGAAGGAAAGTCAACAATTAATACCTGTAGCTGACAAAATGAAAACAATAATGAATTAGAACAATACTAAGCAAAGTACATTGTTATTCGCCCCTGGTTAAGAAAACACGAACTTACGAAAAACTTCTTTAAAAAAGATATTCAAATAAGTGATGGTTGTAATCTTTCAGTTTATTAACCATTCGCTATTACTGTTTAAAGAACCCTAAAAGTGTTATAAACTTTTTGCGGCGCCTCATCCACACTACAGCGTGTCGATGCACGTGTGCAAACAATTAACAGTTTATGTTTAAACGATCAGACTACCACCTTCAGGTATAAAAGAAGTAAACACACTTCAGCTTCCTAATTAAAAAAAGGCTCATGCCTATCAACCAACCTCTCCTAATACTAAGATAGATGTCATTAACAACGTTTTGGTTTTCAGTAATCTATAAGTGACCCCTAACAGTTCAAGCAAGGGGTTAGTTTAGGTGCTACGTCTCGCTAAGTAACTTTAAGTTAACAATTAGTTTAGGGGTAGTTGGTTAAAGAGGCCATTGATAAAAAGATTTCGATAAAAAGCCAAGAAACAAAAGAACAAAGACAAACTTTCATTTCATAAAACAAAAGTAAAGTGTAGAAATAATTTACGTGTACATATCTATCAGGC